GTTCAGAAGTATCTATTCTTTGGCACTCAGCCCTCTTTGTGGTCCAACTCTCACACCCATATGTGACTATTTGAAAAACCATAGCTCTGACTACATGGACTTTTGTTGGCAAATGAATGTCTCTGCTTTTTAATACGCTGTCTAGATTTGTCATAGCTTTTCTTCCAAGGAGCAAGCGTCTTTTAATTTCATGGCCGCAGTCAGCATCTGCAGTGATTTTGGAGCCCAAAAAGTAGTCTGTCACTGTTTCCATTGTTTCCCCATCTATTTGCCATGAAGTGATAGGACCAGATGCCATGATCTGAGGTTTTTGAATGTTGAGTTTTAAGCCAGCTTTTTCACTCTCTTATTTCACCTACATCAAGAAGCTCTTAGTTTCTATGAAGCTTGTCAGTATATGCTTATCATTCTGGGATCAAAACTGACAGCTGGTAGAGGTGGTGCATATATTCAATAGAAGGAGAAAAATACCAACAATTCTACTATGCATATGAAAATGTTCCATGTGATGCTGTTTAAGTGAAAACAACCCTGTTATACCTAAATGAAGGAAATTACTACAATACTGAAATATTGTTGAAATGAATATTTAATCAAGGTATTGGTTTTTGAGGAAAGAGTAATAATGGATGCTTCATGCTTACCGTGATAAAGCATCTTGCAAATCAAAAAAGGGAAATGTCTTAAAAAGTAGGTGTTGCTTTTTATTTCAGTAAAACCTGAGTCCATTAAATATTGAAGGAACAAATGTCAGTGTTGACTTATTCAAACTGATTACAGCAGGAAAACCTGAGGTTCACAGTATCTCACAAACACATACGCCTAGCATGGGGTTTTTGACATCTAAAGGTCATTGATACAGTGGAGATTTGGCTACCTGAGGAATTTCAACTAGAATGTGTTTTGTGTAACAAGGTTCCTGATTGTTATGCAACTAGAAACATATGTCACCTCTCTGAAAGTTTAAAATGGTTAGAATTAGTCTCAAAATTAATCCAGCTGAAATATGTCTTTAGGTTTCTAAAGAAATAAATATCAACAACAAAAATATGCTATAATAAGTTATAGGAGCAGTATCTCTAAAATGTGTGAGTTTACTTTAATGACTTCTTTTTTGGATTATTATCCAATGATATATTAATATAAACTAAATTTTAACTTTGAAAAATGGCATCTTACATGAAGATTTAATATCCAGTCAATTCATTGTTCTGGTGCTCTGAAGGTGGCTAATGGCCTCATGTGGAAAGCCTGTGAATCTGGTCTTTTTTACTGCAAGGAAATTGCCACCAGATGGCATTTGAACTAAAGCCTCATGGTTGGGACCATATGGCTTCCCATGTGTATGCTTGACTGGGAGATAACAGATGAATACACCTTTTTCCTTTACTTTTTGGTTCATTTTTAATATAAAAGGAATTTTATTATTAAGAATTTAAAAATTATTTTTAAAAGCTTCACTTTAATTTGCAAAGGCCTTTAGTATACACTATCTCATTAGCTCACTGGAGCAAATATAAGAAAGGAAACCTGGGTGTATAATCAACTGAATGGTAACTCTGTCCTCAGTTCTTTCTTGGAAAATGGGTTTGACATTATCTCCTCATGGAAAAGTTGTAAGGATTCAGTTTAAAATGTGTATAAATGATACTTGTAATTTCCTAAGGTTAAACTGGCTTTAATTTAATCTTAAGTAAGGTCTAATTTTAGATTATCATCATCATCACTCTTAGTACTTTATTTCTAATTACTTCTGATTGTTTCACTAATGTAAATCTTGTCTCTGCCAGTTTATTTGTTTATGATCTCCTTTTTCATAGAAGTAACTTGTGTATGCTTCTTTTGTGTTGATTGCTTCCTTTACTGGGGCACCAGTCTAACTATATAATTTGTTCAAAAAACAAATTTGTGTTGAATTTGAATTGACAATCACAAGACATGTCCTCACAGACCAGGATAATTTTCGTTACCAAACCAAATGTGTGTCCACTCACCCGTGTGAGGTAAAGCCAGACTACTGACACTGTTGTGGTGAAGGAAAGTGTAGCATTTATTGCTGGTGCCAAACAAGAAGTCCTGACAGCTAGTGCTTAAAAGGCCTGAACTCCCTGAAGTCTTTCATGCAAAGGTTTTTAAAGACAGGGTGAGGGGAGGGGGGTTGCTGGGTGTGTGATCAACTCATGGACATTCTTCTGATTGGTTGGTGGTGAGGTAATTGGGAGTCAGCATCATCAACCTTCTGGTTGCAACCAGCATGTGCTTGTGGGCAGCATGCAGTTAACCTCTTCCACCTGGCGGGTGGGGCTTTCAGCATCTTCAAAGCAGCTCAAAGGACATGGCTCCAAGTGTTATCTATCTCTTAGGAGGAACAGAAGGTCCTTGACTTTTTTTAATGGCTAAAGTATTATTATTTTGTCTTGCTTGACTGTTTTTCTTTCTTCCTACATTTTCTCACTTCTCTAATTTAGTTTATTATTTTGAACTTGGGGAAGACTTAAGAGGCTCAAGTATTCTGCAGACAAGAAGGCAGAGGACGTGGGCGGGGAGTCTGTCCTGGGAAGGCCCTGTAGGGCCCGGCTCGGTTACAATTTAATGGGAAAAGCATACTCCTCACTGCTCTACATACCTCATAGGAACCTTGTGAGGGTCTAATGAGATAGTGTAAAAGCCAGCATGCTTTGAAAGAGTCATTTGCTTATGTATTCATTAATGTAATTTCCACATTTTAAATCTAAATTCATTCAAAGTAATTTACAAACTATCTTATTTGTATCTGTTCATCCATGTGTATAATTTTACATCTTAAATTACTATTAGTTAATTATGGGTCATGAAACTACCTATTAAATATTCCAGTTTTGATTTTAAATTCTAAGGTTTTGACTAAAGTTTAATATATTTGTTAGTATCTATAGCATGTGTCCTATGATATTTGGTAAGATATAATTTGAAAAAATTAGAGTTAAAATGATGGTAAGCACAGGAATTCCTCTCTTTTGAAAATGTTTCTCTGAGGCATCAGGACCCTGCAGATATATCACCATCATTCTTTGCAACTTTAAGCTTCAGTTTTGAGAGGTGTTAATTGTTAATGATGGAGATAGACTGGGTAGTTGAGTTTGAGGGACTCATTATTTTCTTGTACATAACCTGTCACCACAGATTTCTATCATTATCCTGTTACACGCCTATCTCTGTTTCAGAAAATCAAACATATTTAATATTTATGTCATCATTTTTTTGTTATCTTCCTGTCATCTGAAAACTATTCAGACTTAACCTATTTCATTCACTGCTCTCGAAGAAGTCCAACTAAATACTCTTTTTTTTTTAATAAGTAAGCAGCTTTGGCATTATCTTTAAAAAAAGATCCAGAATATTTTGAGTTGATTTGTGTGGGTTCCTTCAATTTGTCATTAACTTTTTTACTACTATTCCATGTGAGGAAAAACAGAGAAGATATAGAGGTAGACCTTTCTAAGCCTTTAAGTTGTTGATAGCTCAGTTGGTAAAGAATCTGTCTGAAATGCCGGAGACCCCAGTTCAATTCCTGGGTTGGGAAGATCCACTGGAGAAGGGATAGGCTATCCACTCCAGTATTCTTGGGCTTCCCTTATGGCTTAGCTGGTAAAGAATCCGCCTACAATGTGGGAGACCTGGGTTCGAACCCTGGGTTGGGAAGACCTCTGGAGAAGGGAAAGGCTATCCACTCCAGTATTCTGGCCTGGAGAATTCCATGGACTGTATAGTCATGGGGACACAAAGAGTTGGACACAACTGAGCAACTTTCACTTTGCTTTCGCTTTAGACCAGTGTGATACGCTAAAACAGTGAAGGAAGAACCACACTAATGTGGACTACTTCCTCTATAAACAGTGACAGCCATCCACCTTGAGGAGGATGACTTCGTTTGACACAGTAGTAACTGTTTTACTTGAGCAAATGTGGGAGTTATATAGCTGATGATGGCAGAAAAAAATATGGTGAAAGTTAAATTCTTTATTGAGGTTTGAAAATCTATTGAAGCTAGAATACTTTTAGAAAATAAATTTTAGAGATATTTTAGTAGACCACTGACTACAGATTCAAAAACCTGTACTGTAACAAGATGTACCCAGAATTACAAATTTGAAATTCAAACATGATTAGGTCCAGAGTGAAAAAGAGATGATCACTACTAGCTAACAGGAAGGTCTTCCCAGAAGCATTCCTGCAGGCTTCCTCTCATGTGTCATTGAACTGAACTGAGTCACAAGATCATTGTTGAAAATTTCTTGAAAGAGAGCATGTCGCCTTGATTGGATTAGACTACTCAGATAGTGGGAAGGTTATGGGAGCAGTGGCCACTCTAATAAGCAAACGAATACTTTAAAAACTGATCTATGATTGTACAACATCCTAACAGGAGGAAAGACTATTTATACACAGATTCAAATAATAAATCAGCACACTGCACAAGAAGATTGTTATTTGTTTAACTTAAATGATAAGCATTCTTCATGTCTATAATAAGTAATTTTATGTGAAATATCTCTTAGATATAGATCTAAATAGATAATAGATCTTAATAGATATAGATATAGGTATAGATCTTAATAGATAATAGATCTTCATAGATAATTAACACTTCCATTTCATCCATGGAAATGAACGAAAGCTATCTTCTATATAAGCTAAGCTATTTATGGAAATGATGCTCTTTTTTTCCCCCCACCATGCTATTAATTGTAAGTTGTCATAAATGTGATCTTAATGAGAAAATCTTAATTGTATTAAGACTTCTTCAGTAGAAGAAAGAGTTCCAACCAAAGATTGTTGGCCTCCTCTGTAAAATTCTGTTTCTTTAAGAATAAGAGTAGATTTATTTTAATCTAGTTTAACTATCTGAATTCTTAAAAGAAATCACATGTTAAGGCGGAATCATTAAAGAACCAAATCTGTCTAATATAATGTCATTATATGGTTATTTTCTGAGCAGTATCATAATGTTTCTATTACAGTAACTCAAGGAGGTGTTGCTTTGGTCTCCGACATGTGTCCAGATCCTGGGATTCCAGAGAGTGGCAGAAGAGTGGGTTCAGACTTCAGGTAGGAAAGAGTATTTATTTCCATAGCACATTACTTTCTAACTCTTTATCATTTCATCCTGTAGTTTTAATTATCTTACCTTTTGATTTAAAGGTGCAACTTCTCAATTATCATGCAGCTATAATATCTGTAGAATTCTAAAACACATTGTGGTGGAAAATTCCAGATACTCTAGAGTCTATTCCTTTCATTGTATAAACCAGTATTAAAAATCCAACTTAATGGGTCTGATCAAAATTTGTGTACAAGATTTTTTTTCTGATTTTAATCTGCTACCTTCCCATATAGGTTTTCCTGGTAGTTCAGTGGTAAAGAATCCACTTTCCAGTGCAGGAGACACAGGATATGAGGGTTCTATTCCTGCGTCAGGAAGATCCCCTGGAGAAGGAAATGGCAATCCACTGCAGTATTCTTGCCTGGAGAGTCCCATGGACAGAGGAGCCTGGTGAGCTGTAGTCCATGGGGTCACAAAAGAACTGGAAACTACTGAGGAACTAAATAACAACAGCGTCCCATGAAAAGAAAATTTTTAAGTGTTAGTCACTTAGTTGCCTGACTCTTGGCAACCCCATAGACTGTAGCCCTCCAGTCTCCTCTATCCATGGGATTCTCCAGGCAAGAATACTGGCGTGGGCTGCCATTTCCTTTTCCAGGGGATCTTCCTGACCCAGGGATTGTACCCTGGTCTCCTGCATTGAAGGCAAATTCTTTATCATCTGAGCTAATTCTAATGCAGTTCAGTTATTGTTTTAAAAAAACAGATAATGAAAAATTTAGCTATAGTCTTATAATTATTTCATTAAGTAAACTTTTATAATAATGAATGTGAGTGGTAATCAATGCGATTTATGAAGAAAATGTTATGATTCATTTTATTGCATTATGATTAGTACAGACTGCTCTGTAGTTGTTTCATTATGAATAAAGTAGTGATTATAATAGTGATTTCTTTCTAGATTTTTGTCTTTAATTAGTTCAATAAAGTGAACATTCTCTAGTTTACAAGATGAGTACTAGTATTAGGGGTAAGCTGCAAAGTCAAAGAGTAAAGGGGAGCAAGAGCAAGTTTTTCTTCCTTATAATCTCATTATTTTTTAAAAAAGAAACAGAAAAAGAGATTTGAGCCTGCTAAAGTGAGCTGAAAATTGAATGAAATGCTTTTGGAAGGAAGAAGAAATGTTATTTGGTGAAACTGGAGTAGCAGTGTCTTTTTTTATGACTAGAGGAAGTAATAAAATTGTCTGTAGAGTGACTGTAATGAAGTTGGTAAAATGACTATATATATACATACACACACATATATTTTACATGAAAAGGAAGCACAAGCATAGCAGTGCTACTGAAATACTTTTGACAATAGCATTGTTCATGTTTTAAATGGAATAGACAGCTGGAATGGTTACCATTGTTGACTAAACACACACACACACACAACTTGAGAGTTGTGAGTTAAGTTTAATCTGGGGCCAAATGAGGACTGCAGCCCGGGAGACAGCACCTCAGATAGCTCTGAGAGACTGCTCCGAAGAGGCAGTGGGGGAAGGTCAATGCATAAGATTTCAGTGAAGGGGGAGTTCAGTGCGATCAAACGCTTACTTTGCAAAACATTCTCTGTTGGTCACAAGGAACTGATGTCACCATGAAGGGATTTAGTGTTTTTCTAGATATGAAGAGATGCAAGGACTGGGATTGTCTGGGAAGTTTGTAATTTCTTGGGTTCTGTCTCACCGCAGCAAAACTTTGAAGCAATGAACAGGCTAGTGTTATAGCTCAGTTTTATTAGGAAAAACAAAGGCTGGTACAGCCTCTGAGAAGTGAGGGTGGGCAGACCCAAAAGACCCGAGAAGAGAGGCCCCAGGCGGTTTTGGCTCCTCCTTTTGTATGTTTTTTCCTCCTCCCCCTGGGCCTGCCCTGTGTAAACTGGGCTAGCCGGGAGGGCTGCTTGTTCTACCTGAGGTCCTCACTCCAGCCCTTGGACCTCCTTTTGTCCATTTTCGTGGGCTTTTCCCTTCCTTGTCTTTTAGCCACTTTGAACTCCTTTTCCTATTCTAACTACCTAACAGGATCATGAAATCAGTTCCTGAAAATACCTAGCTATCTAAAGACCAGCTCCACGGGATTCGCTGGAGCACCACATGCCTCACGCCACCCTGAACCCCTCGGGGGCGGGGGTGCTGAGTGTCAGCGGCGGCAGCACAAGGCTCAGTCTCCACCGAGGCAGGTGGCAAGTGCCTGCTGCTTTCGCTCAAGCCAAGGCGACGCTCTTGGCATGTGCCAGTTTGTAGCTGACGCGGTTTAAGTGTCGCAAATATTGAATATACCTTAAGGTGGTGTATTTTAGTTCAGGTTCCTTTGGTGCAGAGCCTCACATAGCGACTCTGAATTGAATTTTTTGGAAAAGTGCCCTCTGATTATGGGGAACAGAGAAAACAGGATAAAGAGAATAGAAGGCTGAGCAGGAAGTTGATTTTAACTAGAGACTAGCTTCCATCCCAATCCAGGGGGAATTCCAGGGGACAAATGCACAAATTATCCACTTTTTTTGCCCATTGCCCTTGCCTTTCATCATTAGCTTCCTCTATTAGTGTCAAGGAAGTTCCTGGACCAAATGTAAGTTATGAGCAGTTATTAGCACCCCAAGGGGTATGCTGTGTCCTGTATGTTGTGTTTTTTTGGGTGTGGCAGTCAGCCAAGACATAAAGCTACTGATTTCAAATGTAAAACAGCCATCAGTGGAAGGCATTCAGGAACATGATTAATTTTTAAATGATGCAAATGGTTCAAATTTGCGGTCTTGCTAGAACTCATAGAGCATTTTTGTTCTAAGGGTTCCTTTCTTATCTTAGAAGTAACCTTTTTCTTTCTCCCTCACCCAGGGGAAAAAAAAAAAGTGTTCTCTAGGCCTTGCTTCCAAAAAGCCTATACATCTCTCCGCTTAGTTAGAGCAGTAAATCTGCATTATTGTTTTACACACCATCTTCCCCCACCCAACTGAAGGATAGTTAGTGCCTTTTTGTCTCTGCCTCCTTGGTGACAGAAATAGTTAGTGGCTGGTGCAAAGGAACTCCAAGGTGTTTTCCAAAGCACTTGTTTATGAGAGGAATTGCCCATTCAATTCTGTCATCCTTGGAACCCAGAAGCTCCCTGGGTCTATTTGGTAGAGCTCTAGTTTAAAACAAAGCAAGTTATCTGACAATGTCAAAATGTTCAAATTGTATCATATAGCAAAGAGAGCCAGAGAAACTGTTGAATTTGCAAAACTTGACAAGGAATTCAGAATCATCCAGGGTCAGTATCTATTTGGCACAAGGGCAGGAAGAGATTTACTTAGCATGTGAGGTGACTGTGCTGGCCTTTGCTCTGTCTCATCCTTCAGTTCAGTTCAGTTCAGTCGCTCAGTCGTGTCCAACTCTTTGTGACCCCATGAATCTCAGCAGGACAGGTCTCCCTATAAATCACCAACTCCCGGAGTTTACCCAATCTCACGTCCATCGAGTTGGTGATGCCATCCAGCCATCTCATCTTCTGCCGTCTCCTTCTCCTCCTCCCCCCAATCCCTCCCAGCATCAGGGTCTTTTCCAAAGAGTCAACTCTTCACGTGAGGTGGCCAAAGTATTGGAGTTTCAGCTTCAGCGTCATTCCTTCCAATGAACACCCAGGACTGATCTCCTTTAGGATGGACTGGTTGGATCTCCTTGCAGGCCAAGGGACTCTCAAGAGTCTTCTCCAGCACCACAGTTCAAAAGCAGCAATTTTTTGGCACTCAGCTTTCTTCACAGTCCAACTGTCACATCTATACATGACTACCGGAAAAACCATAGCCTTGACCAGACGGACCTTTGTTGGCAAAGCAATGTTTCTGCTTTTTAATATGCTGTCTAGGTTGGTCATAACTTTCCTTCCAAGGAGTAAGTGTCTTTTAATTTCGTGGCTGCAGTCACCATCTGCAGTGATTTTGGAGCCCAAAAAAATAAAGTCTGACACTGCTTCCACTGTTTCCCCATCTATTTCCCATGAAGTGATGCCATGATTTTAGTTTTCTGAATGCTGAACTTTAAGCCAACTTTTTCACTCTCCTCTTTCACTTTCATAAAGAGACTTTTTAGTGCCTCTTCACTTTCTGCCATAAGGGTGGTGTCATCTGCATATCTGAGGTTACTGATATTTCTCCCGGCAATCTTGATTCCAGCTTGTGCTTCTTCCAGCCCAGCATTTCTCATGATGTACTCTGCATATAAGTTAAATAAGCAGGGTGACAATATACAGCCTTGACATACTCCTTTTCCTATTTGGAACCAGTCTGTTGGTCCACGTCCAGTTCTAACTGTTGCTTCCTGACCTGCATGTAGGTTTCTCATCCTTAGAACGGCCTTATTTCTGCAGAAGCTTAACTGAAGATGAGCATTAGCCACTGGAGTTTATGTGTCTGGACTGGAAGCCAGGCTGTGTATGCCTGGCAGGTCGAAGCAGGGGTGTGATGGCCCCATCTAAAACTGTCAGTCTTTCATGTTCTTAGTTTTCTGGGGAATTTCTACTCTGTTTAATTAATTAATTAGTTTACCTGTCTCCGAGTTTATGGCAATCAAATAGCATAACAGCTGAGAAAATCATTTGAAAGATTACATTTTCTATAAAAATACATGTGTGTGAATGCTAAGTTGCTTCAGTCCTGTCCAATTGTGTGAGACCTTATGGAGTGCAGCCCATCAGGCTCTTCTGTATGTAGGATTCTCCAGGCAAGAATACTGGAGTGGGTTGCCATGCCCTCTTCCCGGGAAATCTTCCCAACCCAGGGATCAAACCCGTGTCTCTTAAACATCTGCATAGGCAGGCAGGTTTTTTTTTTTTTGTTTGTTTGTTTTTTACCACTAGAGCTGCCTGGGAAGCCCCAGTAAGCCCCGTACTATAAGCCCCATAATAAGCCCCGTACTATCAATTAAAAAATATAGTCACAATCTGAATGTAAAGAGTTATTTTATTTGGTGGGAATGTTTGGGACT